CTTCAACCCCGGGGATTTAGGACAATACCCACACCACGTTGGCCGATACTCGAAACCGCATTGTCTCCGGATAGGCGTAAAAAGAAAGCACTGCTAGTGTCACCTGAAGAGAATCGCAGAGCGAGCACAGAACTCGAGTCTTACAGGCGGGTTTCCGATAGACAGCAGATATCGATCGCGAGGGTCCACATTGTTCGGGAAAGTGATGTCTGTTGACCGACATGTAACATTGAACGTACCTTGAGGCATGTCATTGTGAGGGTGAATCGAGGGCTCTAAATGGAAGCCGATGAACTGGGCTTGTTCGTTTGGTTGGACATGGCCTTGTTTACAGAGCAGGAGTGGCGCGCCACGTTTGCGTGTCAGCTGAAACTAGAAGCTAGACACCTACCAAAGTAAGATGAAGGATGCTCAAGAATTGGGGTTGAAAACAGGCGGGATAAAAGTGAAGTTGGAACGGGACGATAAGGGTGAAAAGGTGTAGGAGGGGGAATGAGAAGGCGGGAAGGCTTGATCAGGAGCATCCAAACCCCCATCCACTCTGCTCCATGCCGCAGATAGGGCGCCGTTTATTATCCTCTGCGACGGCCAGGGCTTCAAGAACTTTTCTGACGGTAGATCATTATATTCTATTGCGTGAACGTGATACTGTCAGGTTACCCAGCAGGATAACGATTATACTTCGCAACCACAGCCTTTAGTCCAATACAGCGCGTTTGGCAGTGGGCTACACTGGGTCCGTTTTAAAGAATAAGGAGTCACCCTCACTCCAACCCCCAACCTGTAGGACCAGGAGGATGTGTTTGTCTGGTCTCTAGCCGTTGACCAATCTGGTATGAGTGACTCTGAAGATGCAAGAAGCACCACCCAGCACAACTCAATGGATCGCTGGGGCACGCACACTGCGATCACCACCCGATATAACTCAATTAGCTGCTATTCTCGCAGTTTGCTCGGTGATCACGATAGACGGTCTCGGGTAGTTAGAGCGGAGCAGCCTCTCAATGCACTGTTAGCCTGTTATGCGTGCGATAACACTGGCCACATCTTAACCTTGTGCCATCGACCAATAATCTGGTTTCTCGCTGTTCCATCAGATGATTGTTGCCTGTGGCGTCCGTTTTAAATAACTACATAAATAAATGGGTATGTTTCCCGACGAGTGGGATACATTCCCTTTTGTAGAGCGATCATTTGTACAGCGAGTTTCGTTATCATTTCATGTATAAACTCCATTCAATATAGAAGACTTATACAATGTTTCGTTGCATGTGTAATAAGTAACATTATTTAATAGTTCATATTCTCTTGTGTTGTTGGAGTCCGATTCCATGAACGCGCTCGTGGATTGCTGTCGGTCGAAAAGTTTGTCCACATTTGTCAAGGAAAGCTTTTGAATTCGTTTTATAATTGGACAGGCTCTCGCAGGTCCTTACTTGCAACGGTAGTTTATTCCACAGATAGGCGTACCTCACCAGCTCTAGTTAATTGGATCCCAGTCAGTAGCCAGATGTGTGCGGTCCGATTGGCTGGCTCGTTCAAAGCTTCGAAGTCGCACGGGACTAACAGGTGTCTATTCGTTATCCCTGCCTATACACCCACAAACTCTAGCGATGCTTCGATAAAAGATGACTTTTGTCGCCAAGTGAACGAGCTCTTTCGCCACAGAAATAGCTCGGACACTGTAGGGTTGGCTGGGGATCTGAACGCTCAAGTTGGAAAGTTATCCACTGATGAACTGCATGTCAGTAGCCAAGATAGTGTAAGCTCCCGTAATGCTAACGGTGAGCGGTTACTTCATTTGTGTGAAGATGCTCGCTTATTTCTTGCGAGCACTAATTTCAGACACAGCACCTGCCGGAAGATGACTCGGCGCTCACCAGCCTTGGACGCAAATCGATCACATTGCGATAACTTACCGCTGGAGAGGCTGCGTCCAAAACTGTCGCTCGATTTGGAGCACATGTGTGGACACCGATCATGCACTTGTATGTGCTGATATGCGGATGCACTTTGGCGGACGCCCACGACGACGTTGTGAGCGCATTGACACCAGCCAACTGACAAAACTAGCTGTTCTGAATGCGTATCGAAGTACGCTGACATGCGAGTTGAGTAATCGCTCACTAAATACAATGGAAGCTCACTGGTCTCATGTGCACCATACCTTAGCAGCGGCACGCAAATCCTCGTGTGGTAAGTCTATTAGCCAACATGGATATTGGGTCTCTTCGCTGTCACTGGAACTTATCGATGCTCGCCGGCATATTCCGGTTGGAAGCGAACACAATGAAACTCGCAAAGAGCTCCGGGCAAAACTCCGTGCTAGCCTGAAGAGAGACCGCGAATCCTGGTGGTCTCATCGTACATCAGAGATGGAAAAGGCGGTTGCCCTTGGTAACCATCGTAAGTTATTCCGTCTGATACGGGAAACGGGCAGCAGGAGACCTGGTGTTAGTGAAACAATTTGTGATGAGAGTGGACAGTCTATTCACAACTTGTCAAGACGCTTGGAGCGTTGGACTGAGCACTTTGAAAGGCAATTTAATCGGTCGGAATTGTTAGATTTCTCGCCGGCCACTGATCGCCCCGCTCCGTGGGCTGTCCCTTTAGATCCACCCTCTGACTCAGAAGTCGAACTTGAGATCGCACTGTTAAGAAAAGCCGGAGGACCAGATGATCTACCTCCAGCCCTCTTCAAATTCGGGGGACCTGCTGTTGTGGATGGTTTACACGAATTAGTAGTGAAATTATGGGAGCAGGAAACTGTCCCATCCGACTGGGGCCGCTCCGTCATAGTCACAACTTTTAAGGGAAGCTCACGGTTGGAATGCGGCAACCCTAGAGGAATCAGTCTGATCTCCATCGCCTCCAAATTGCTTGCCTCTCTCATCCTTTACAGACTGACTGGCACTTGTGAAAGCCAAATTCGTAAAGAGCAAGCCGGCTTTCGTCAAGGTCGTGGCTGCATTGACTACATCTTCACTTTGCGTCAGTTGTTGGAGCACCGTCACATATATTGGCCGCCCACCGTTGTGGTGTTCCTGGATATCAGAGGTGCATTCGATTCAGTGAACAGACGTGCACTTTAGGACTGTCTACTCAGAAAAGGTTTACTAGGGATACACGTAAATATTATCAGAGCATTATACGCGCATAGCTCAGGCAGAGTGAGGGCTTACGGCAAGCTGTCGTCACCCTTTAATATCTCCAGCGGTGTTAGACAAGGGTGCCCGCTGTCACCTTTCCTCTTCAACCTCGCTGTTGACGAAGTCATGGAAATAGCGTTCATTGGACGCGACTTAGAAGGTGTGGATCTGCTCCCCGGAGAACGACTTCTTGACTTGGAGTATGCAGACGACATTGCCCTAATCTGTGACAGCTCCCAGACGTACTAAGCGGCACGACAGATTAGCACTGGCTGTCAGCCGCTTCGGGTTTTGCTTTGCACCCACGAAGTGCAAAGCGTTCCTCCAAGGTTGGCCTGGACCGCCTTCTACGCTGACCCTTAGTGGGGATCAGCTAGAAGTCGTTCAAAAATTCAATTACCTGAGAAGTTGTATCAGCGCCCTTGGGATTGAAGATGAGACCACGAACCGTATAGCGAAAGCTCGAAGTGCTTTTGCTAACATTCGCCACTTATGGCGGCGGCGCGACATCACTCTCGCCCTGAAGGGTAGAGTGTACAATGCAGCGGTACGTTCGACCCTACTGTACGGTTGTGAAACCTGGCCGCTTAAAGCAGTGGACCTGAAGAGGCTGGTTACGTTCTACCATCGGTGCCTTCGCAATTTAGCTCACATTTGGTGGGAACACCGTGTGAGCAACAAGTGTGTCCGACGCTTTGTTTACGGCACAAAAATAGGAAATGAACCACTCGGCACCGTTATTTCACGCACCAGGCTCCGATGGCTGGGCCACGTGTTACGCATGCCAGCCCAGCGACTCCCTCGACGTGCGTTGTTTGCGCGCCGGGGGTGTGGATGGAAGAAGAGGGGAGTTGGCCAAGCGATGACTTGGTCGAGAGGAATGAAGGCCGTCACTTCGAAGCTGGCCTCGGTTGGAGCTTCACGCCTCCATGGTTAGGGTCCAAAAGACGATGAACACGTTTGGCTTGGTACGCTTATTGATATGGATACTATCTGACTTTGATGGCGTTCGTGCTGGGAGTTTCTTTGTCCCACTCCATCCCTCTTAGCCTTTCCCTCCCATCACGATCTCATTATTTAGCATTTTATAATTTTGCATAGGCAATCACTTTTTGCTGCATAGTAGCCGGCAGATGGCTTACCGAAACAATGCCCATCCGTTACCTTTAGCTCAGCTGGCTTGTACCTGGTGCATTTTATTCCGTTTTTTACTTTTAGGTATTGCGGCACAGTAGCTGAGGTGTTTCCCAACTCTAGCTAACGTGTATAGTGTGCGAGTATGTGATGGTGCAATACTCTAGAGGGAATCGCACTATGAGTTTAAATGAATCAACTCGTGTTTGGGATAGTGAAAAGAACTTAGTAATATAACGTGTTAGTTGCGTCGCTTTCCCTCCTTGATGTAGAATGTGTTCAGAGAAGTTGAAGCTGCTCGAATATCAAATTCCCTGGTCTCGAACGGAATACACAGTTGGAATGAGGGTGCCAGTGATGGTGTTGGATCCTTCTGGTATACTGCATTTTTGACAGAGTATGTGAGGTTTATCTGCAGAAAACCTCATTAACCTGGTTTTGCTGTATCTATGTAGGGATGACTGGTCCTCGCATATATTTACTAGTCACTGCGACTGCGAACATCCACAGAGTTCTTGCATTTACAGAGGAACCATGAGTGTTTCGCACTGTACCACTCGCAGCTCTTCACATATGCTGCACCCTATCCATTGTGAGTCGGAAGTAATAAAACCGGAAGGCATGAGAATGGATGCCACAATTTACTCAGTGTGAATCCCCCCATCTTTCCGAGTAGCTTCCTTTCATACGTCCATTTTTATTCTTTCACACCTCCAGCTCTACCTCCAGCTTTTACGCTACTTCACACCTGATCGGGCCTCTATCATTCTACTTTCTGGGAATTTCGCATCGTCCCTTGCACCAGATACGCAGCTGGAAGTAGAGCCGTGGTACAAGATAAGATACAAAGCAGAGGGTAGGTGTATCATGCGTGATGTATGTTCTTCTTCTTGGAATGCCCTTTGTTTACCTTCTCATCCTATGAGTCATTTGGTCTCCTCGGAAGATGTTTGATTCACTTTAGTTCGTTGTTTGTTTTCATTTTTATCATGAGGAAATGTTTGTTGATTTTTGCGACACCCTACCTCTTCTCCCAGAAGTCACCCGATCTTTTGCTTCGACCACTAAAATCTAAATGGTTCTGCTTTGCTGATACCTCGTTTTTTCTACTGTACGATTATTGTTTTCAATGTTCATTTGCCACACGATTGCCACGCGATTGTACGCTATCGAGCGTTTCATCGTGTAACGGAATACTCCAACTACGGAGACGGCAACTAACTCTTGTTGCGTGAGTTGTAACTACTGCGAAGCTTTGTCGACCAGCAGCATGCAACAGACGTTGAGGGCGCGTGATTTCGGCACCGTTTACCTCGTCAATCTCTACTGTCAGTCATACTTTATCCAACAGCGTAGTCACGATCTCCACCTATGCGTATTCACGACTGGAGTGATATTTGCATTCGCACAAACAGCTTAGCCAACCAGCATCTTCTTACGGCTTTTCCTACTCCGAGTTATCAGATGACGCCATGCGTTTCAGTCAAGTTGTGACTGTCAAAGGAAGTCGTTCGTTATCTTTCTCGGACCTACACTCTACGAACTCATGCGAATTACCTTCGGCGATCCACCGCGAATATTATCCGTCTTATTTCGTATAAAGAGTCAGCAATGCATCTGTATTTTGCACTGTCGTAGAGCTCTGTCCTTCGGGGACAAACAGTTTATTCAGCAGAGCAATCTTAGTGAAATCTGAAGCATAACTGACCTTAGGAATGCCTTTGAGTTACATTACTGAGCCGCTTCCATAACTAACGACGTTTCTGCATTCATGAGATTCTTCCCTTACTTCGGTCAAACAAACTCATTCCAGCACAGCCAACTATTGACCAATCAGCATAGAGGCGGAGATGCACAGATGTCCAATCATCTTTCTTCGTTTGCGGCAATCTAGCTGCTTGCTTCGTCACCTAAATCTCTCTCGTCCCTCTGTTCGCATACTCCCATCATATTATTCACAAACGGTTGTGCGCGACCGTGGAAATGTAAGAGAGTAGACTGGAATTCGATTGGCAGTGTTTGCAGTCTAAGTAGATATCCGCTGTACTAAGCGGTGGGTTAAATTTTGAGACAAGACTTCGAGGAGGAGCTCCAGTTGATTCGCGTTAAATTTCTCTATTGGATACCGTCTGCTCCTTGCTCATAGGCTCATAATTGTTTCATCGTCCTTCATTCTTTCGCGTTATTCGGTGTCTATTATTGTGTGTATCCTCTTTCGTAGTATTTTGATTCCGTGTCCCATATGCATATCTAAAATCTTTACACTTTACTTAGCGACAGTTTAATAAATAAAAATAAATAATATATCAGCTGTACGCTGTAAGGGGACTTTGCTGCTAGGCGACCACCACCAGTTGCGTGCGGGCTGAATATACCGCGAGGACGCCCAATCCTACGTGGATTCGAACGGAGGAGCTTATGGTTACAAACTAGGTGCGCAGACCACTTGGCCACCGGCGACAGTTTGCTCTTCGTTTCCTTCATACTACCTAAAAGTTATGATAGACTACTTGTGTCTCAACACCGACAATGACACCCATTAAAGCGGATTCGTTACATCTACACCCCGTCAGAGACGCTAAGCAGCCGCCTCGCGCTATAGAGACTCGTGAGTAGTGTACCCTCCATCTACCTGGAGAGAGGCGGCAACCAGTAGAGGAATAGCGGAGAATAGACACACACGATATACTCTAACTATTTGGTAAGTATGGGTACCGCTGATTGCCTTGATCTAGTGGCCATAAGCATTGATTTGAACTTAAAAGTTGCGTGTTATACCCTCTCCTCGAGCAGATGGAGCACGGGCCTTTGAGATTTCCGCAAAGACAGAAGTTCCGTCTAGTGCTCTTCTGCATGTGCCTTGGCTCTCTGCTCGCATGTAGCTGTGACGAATCCCCATCGAAATTAGTCCTCGTCACTCCTTTCACTGCGCTCTGCGAAAAACGTTAGCGATTAGAAAATATCTTACCCCAGTCGGTCAATACAGCCTTATCCGGTCAGCGTCTAACATACTGCTGGCTGCTCCACACCGTAATTCTGTTTTGGTTCAAATCCGAATGTTCTCTCTCAAACCACAGATATTTCGAGCGCCCTGATGCAAATGTGGAACGCGTCTTCACCTAGCGAAGATCTTCACCTTCCGTATAGAAATAAATTTTTGAGTAAGTCGTATGTGCTTATATCTAGTTGACTGCACAAGGATCCAACCTGATTTTATTTTAGCCTTTATCTGATCATGTCGCTTTGTGCAATCGTCTGAATAGAATATTCGCTATCATTGTTCCAATTCGCATTTACCATAATGCGGTTTCACGGTTTTTCCATGTAATGGAGCAACTAACTATTTCCAGTCGGAGTAGCCACACAAGGTGGACAGCTCCCCATACACATTCTTCACGATTGAACCCTTAAGCCACCTTACAACAGTATGCATTGAGCACATTCGTCTAAAAATAATTGCTGCGCTGACGTCATACTTTTACGACTGCTTATGATTAGCTAACAGTTATTCATCTTCCGGACTTTCACTCATCTTGAGGTGTACATTTATGAAAATATATCCATCTACTTGGTTTATTGAAGGTTTCACTGATGTCATCTTTGCACTCAGGCAATTGTTCGGTTTTCGGCTTAATTATAAGCACTCTTCAGTCCAAACCCGGCCTTATTTCCTCTCGCGCGAACAGTTTCTGGGACATTCACTTCGTACATTTATCTTTTACATCTCATTTTAGCAAACCGTCCTTGCTATCGGGAATTTTCTCTCTCCATCCCTCAAATCATGTCCAGAATGTGCTTTATGCACCCTTGAAGGATGAATATTCAGCTCTAACGCACACGCCACGGAATGGGATACATAATAAAAACGGATAATACATGTGGATAAATATAAAACCACGACCATTAAAAAATATTTGACAGAGCAAATATCGCTAGAGTAATTCACTAATCAGTTCTTGAATGAATGCATTTTTATGGTTCAAAAAACGTCCTTGTGCGGGCGTATAGAGTTTTGTAGATCTGTCTGGTCGAGGAGGAGGTTGATAAACATTCGGACAAAGCCCTGTAGAGGGGATGGCTAACATCTGTGAGTATTTTAGATGCACATTTTTACAGGAATTAACATCGTTCACAGCAATGATGTTGACGATTTCCATCTTAAATGCATTATACCAACGCCACTGAGCACTTACGTAGCTCTCCCTTATCTTTGTCCACTGTCTGAAGCGACGTTCGACGATCACGTATGGTCTTGAGTGTGTGCACAGCCTAGTTCTATCTAATTGCTTGCTATCTTTGTAGTTTATACAATCTCTCGATGCGTCATTCACGTTTTGTTTGCCTACGAATGCTTTCCGCATCACCACACACATATATATAGAAATGGACTATCCATTTCATGACTTCAAAAATTGGTGAGGATTATCGAGTGATGCTCCTATAAAAATCATCCAATGGTTTTGGCCTGATTCTTTCGCTCCTTGGAATAACGAGTTTTCCTAGGGAGTTTTGCATATTCCCTGGTTTGAGGAGTCATGAAATGACAACTTTTAACCAAATCGCCGGCTTTGGTACCTACGGAGTCCTCCAGAGTTTTACCGAATGCAGTGTTTTCCAGTCTCCCGTGTCTATAGAGGACCCAAAAAAAGCGCTCACCTAACACCCAAAGATTCAAGGACTGTCACATTCAGTTGCCATTCCGCTTTTATCTGTCTACTGCTTGGTTTTTTCGCCAGTTCCATTCTATTTTTCCCTTATTTTTTGACCATTTCCTACTTTCGTTGATTTACGTCTCATGCCCTGTATGTCCACCGCTCCTCTATACGGAACTTCTGCTGATAGACTAATTTAACTTCTCGCTGGTGGTTTCCGCGCTGCCGTCTGTCCCGTTGTTTCCGTCTTTTCGATCGATGCTGCTCATTTTCCCTCTCGCATGTTCTTTTTACGGTTTGAAGCGCAATTTTCTTTCCATCACTACGTTTTCCGGTCAGTGATTATACCGCCGACAATGTTTTTTCATTTGTGCGTTTAGTTACTTTATTTATTAATTGTTTTTCCATTGACTTATCAGCACCTATTATGCCTAACTTTTGACACACTTTTCCCCTCTCCTTTCTCCACTTCGACTATACTCTCTGGATGCTTATACCACATCAATTTCTTCCGCTTTTCCATTTCTCTAGCGACCAACTTCAACCTTCTTCCCGCCGATGGGGATATGAAAGTGAGCTCAGGTGCATTTTTTGTTCAACTGCCATTGTTGTGCACTTCATGCTCCCAACTTCCGTCTTGAGGCTAAGCAACATTGCGATCACTAAGTTGGTTTGTTATACCGTTCATCGACCGATGCGTTGGAGTTCCCTTTAGTTTTGAACTTTGTCGCCCCAGGCGACTCTTCGCTTCTGGCTCCATCGCTGACTGTACTGAAGTGCACCTGTTGGAGTTTGGTAACTAATTGTCCGGTACTACACGTAAATATCCCTTACGCTGCAATTGCGTCTGTTGGCTGCGCTAGGTTTTTTCAATCTTACCTCCACCACCTACTTCAGATGCTATGGCGAGATGTTAGTGAACGACCACTAATATCAGCCATATGGATATGTGAGCCAACGGACTTTGCCGAACTGATCATACACCGTCTTACGTGATGGGATTCCTGCGGTTCACTACCTGATTTGTTTGAAATTATTCAACCTATTGCCCCGTTAATCCAGTGGCTATTACAACGCTGTTGATTCACGCCTGCTTGTAAATCTGCGCCCTTACGCCTGCTCTGCTTGACGCTTTGGCAAACTCGACAGGAAGGAAGACAGAAGACTTAGCCGACCAAAGAGTTGTATTAGGACCGAGAACGCTCATATTTATATGTCGGTCTCACCAATCCTCTAAACATCGCCTGGCGGATTTGGCTGTACGCCCACACTCCACACTTGATTGTCCGCTCCGTCTTTCTCGGGCACGCCAGTCTTCATCCGCCTACCCGGGGCATGGCAATGTTCATGATATCTGATGCGCGATTTCATCTGCTTTCGGCTGGGTCCTGGCAACACGCTCCCAAAGTCTGTCCCAAGTACGATTTGTGGCGAACACGCACTCCTTGGCAATCAGCTTTCTCGCCCAGCTGTCACCTCCCTTTCTGAATTGAGTCAGCTTGCAAACCATTCGAACTTGATTGTGTTCGTAGCTTTTCGCCCGGGGATCGATTTCCAGCCATTGTGGTGTTCTCCTCTTCCGAGCCGGCCTGTGTTGTGCATCTGATGTTTGCGGCATTTGTTGTGTCTCACCGGGTTACTGACCCTCAACTTCCAGCCCGAACGTGTCTAGTAGAATGTCCCAATGCAAAGCTGGTGGTTCGTGGGGGACTTGGGTTTTACCATGGTTCGGTCTCAACTGATTGATGTGCCTAATCCACCTCCCACGTCCAACCATCACCTCATAGATAACTCTGCCTTGCCTGCTGATAGCAGTTCCGCTCGACCACCCCTTCGGCCTTCGAAAATCCCGGGCGTAAACCATGTCACCAACATTGAAGTTACGCAGCCTGATTTTGCGATCTTCTTCCACTGCCGTGCTTTTCTATTCTCCTTGGTAAAAGATTATCGAACAACGTCCGGATCTTTCTTCCAAATACTACTTCTATGGGGGATTTCTCATCATGGGAGTTTCGGTTCGGAGCGTTCCGATACATGCATAGGAAAGATTGAATTGCATCCTGTGAAGCCCTTCTACGCCCTGCTTTACGGAGTGCACGTTTGAACATATCCACGAACCTTTCCGCCTGTCAGTTTGATTGCAGGTGATAAGGTGATGAGAACATCTGCTGAATTCCTTTTTCTTTGCACCACTCGCGGAAAGATGTCGAGGTGAACTGTGTTCCATTATCTGTCACTAACATCTCTGGCAGGCCGAAATATCGGAACACCTTTTCCAGCTCGTCCACAGTGTGCTGGGCAGTCAGATTATTTACCGGAATCACATCAGGCCACTTGGTGAATGAGTCGACCAAAACGAGATAGGATTGGCCATTGATTGGTCCTGCATAGTCTAGGTGTATTCCTTGCCACGGTTTCTCTACTTTAGCACAAGGTTACCACTGAGTCTTGGGAGAGGCCTTCGCTCTAAGTTGACAAGATTCACACTGTTGGCAAAAATTTTTCTATTTCCGAATCCATTTCTGGCCAGTAAACAAAACTGCGTGCCGAGGCTTTTTATGCGGCTAGTACCAAAGTGCCCCGTGTGGAACTGCTGCAATATTTGCCTCTGTAATTTCTTTGGTACTACCACTCGATCTCCAAACATCAGACAATTGTCCACGACTGACAGGGATCCACGTCGATTGTATAACGGCCGCAACTCCATAGGTATGCCTCCATTTGGCCAACATGTTCGTACACACTGCATCGCGTTCTCCAAGATGCTGTCCCGTGCGGCCTCCATACGAATGGTGTCGGCTGTTACTGGTAGTCTTTGCACATTATCAGCCAGGATTCGTTAGACTTCTGATTCGAAACTGATAGCTGCAATCACAATCATCATTCTTCTTTGGGTGTGAATTGATGAGATGAGACAGGGCTTCCGCTTGACCGATTAGTTGCGTAGGTTTATACTGTTAACTGAAGTCGTACGCCAGTAGTATGGTCGCCCATCGTTGCAATCGGTTTGCCGTAAAAACTGGAATTCCTTTCTTTGACCCGAATATCGACAGAAGTGGCCTGTGGTCAGTCAGGTGCGTGCAATGTTTGCCGTACAGCCTCTTATGGAACCATTTCCTTGCGAAAACGATCGCGAGCGCTTCCTACTCTATCTGGCTATAGCTCTTTTCAGCTGCCATTAATGACCGTGCTGCGTGCGCGATAGCCTTCTCTCCTCCATGCGGAAAAACGTGGGAGATAACTGCACCGACACCATAATTAGAAGTATCCGTAGCAACGACAATTTTGAAATTCGGATTGAAGTGAGTCAAGAGTAGATCAGAAGTGAGAGCTGCTTTGACTGCATCAAAAGACTGCTGGCACTCCTTCGTCCATTTCCAACTTTTTTCTTTTGTCAGTAGCTGATTCAGCCGACTTCTGGTTTGGTGGGGGCTTGGTAGGAAAGCACTATAATGGCTAACGAGCGGAGCTCTGTAATGTCTTCTTGGGGGTTACTCTTTTTGATGGCTTCAATATTGGCGGGATCTTGGCGTCGGCCATGTTTGTCGATGATAATCCCAAAAATTTGACACTTTCTAATAGGAACTCACATTTTTCAGCCCGTGATCGGAATCCAGCTTCTTCGACACGCGAAAGCACTCTCCAGTGTCTGTAACAAGTCTTGCGGATTTGAACCCATAATCAACGCATCGTCCATGTATACTGCGGTATTTGGGATATCGCTCAGCAGGGTATCCATTATTTGTTGAAAAATGGCTGGTGCGGTTTTCACTCCGAACGGCAGCCGGGTGTACTGAAAAAGTCCGAGGTGTGTATTTACTGTCAGTAATGTTCTGCACTGATGGTCAACTGGGATTTGCAGATACGCATCAGCTCGATAGAGTTTTGAGAAACATTTTCCCCCATTCAGTTTGCTGAACAAGTCTTCTGGTACCGGCAGAGGGCACTGATGATCTTCCAACACAATCCAAACCTGTCGAGAAATCAACACAAATACAGACTTTACCGTTTCCTTTCTTTACCACCACGATAGATGCTACCCATTCTGAATAGTGAACTCGTTCGATTATCCCTTCAGATTGTAGTCGGTTTAACTCACCTTCCACTACGGACTGGGTTGTTTAGGGTACCGGGCGTCTTGGTCTAAAGACTGGCTTAACTTCTTGTTTAAGGTTCAATGCGGCAGTAGCTATGTTGCAGCATCCGAGACCAGGTTGAAACAATGCATCGTGACGTCGTTTTATCTCGGTAATCTAACTTTGAAACATCGGGCTTGATGTCGACGGTCGCGATAGCAGATTGACTTGCGGTGACTGACATACTTTTCACTGATAGATCAGGCAGTTTCACTTCATCCATCCAGTCGAGCCCCAACAAATCTAACCCCGGCTGGTATGTCACGAAACACGTCGTCTGGATTTGTTTATCGCGTAAGTTTACCTGACAATTCAGTTCACCAAGCAATTTTAACGTACCTACTGAAGCATACCGTGTTGTGTAGCCCGTTTCTATGAATATCGGTCGCCCCAGCATGCACCAAATGTCGCGAGATATCAGGGTGATATCTGAAACCGTGTCGATTTGTAACTTGACTTGGAAGCCATTGATTTTCACAATTGTGTATTTGCGCTTGCTGGTCCCGTCAACCTTGAAAGTTGCGGTGATAGATCTGGTCAAATTGGGACGCCGGAACGATCTGGCATTGTTACGCATTTTCTTGGTCAAAATTGGACGAGTCGCCAGGCAATATGACTCCTTATGGCGTTTTCTGCCGCAACGGTTGCAAGTGTGAGTTTTCAATGGGCACTCACGAGCAAAATTCTGCTCTCTACAAAACCAACATGCAGAGGGAGGTTTAGAATGCGGTGAACTCACGTGGGGAGCTTCTTTTTGGGTAGTACGGCTGACTGCACAAACAAAATCTTGAGCATTCTGATTGAACAGCTGCTGAATCATTGCGGTTTCCTGCTTCAAATTCGTCATGCATTGGCACTCCCTGGCCACTTGCTGCAATGTGACATCCGGGTTCTGCTCAATTTTGTTCAGTATTCTTGTTCGAATGTCGGCGTCTGGATGCTTGTAGGCCACAAACGTATATGAGACATTTAAACCGATTTCTTGTCATATGCTGTTGCGACCGTTTGTACTCGCGATTTACACAACTGAAATAGTTGACCCAGTCTTCGTCTTCTTTTTTGTTATTGTCCGACATTTGTACCGGATGTTAAACAAAGATGTCTGCTCTCCAAAAATTTGCAACAGGACTGCGATCACTTCATCTAAGGACAAATACGTACTCTTTTTAGGCAATATAAAATTGGTGAACTCGTGTTCGGCAGCATTCAGCTTCCGCAGCATTAGTCGAATCTTCTTTTCTGCTGGAAGGTTGGCGAAATCAACCCGGAACATGTCTTCATGCTTGTGGAACCAAGGAACAAATGTTATGCCGGCATCAGCGTCATGATGGAACTCACTGATCTGCTGAGTCAGGGTTTCTGGTGAGGGAACACTTTCACTTGTCCCTAACCCTGGGCTTGACTGCACTGTCATCTTCTGAGTTAGCATCTCAATCAGCTTGGCCTGGGATGCTTCAAATTGCGCCTGTTGTTGCTGCAAAAGTATCTGCAATTGTTAAAAGCGGATTGCCATTTCTGGGTCCGGTTGAACTCGCGTCGCCGCGTCTAGTTCATTTCTTCTGCTTGTTGGTCTCTCCGTCAAACGATTACATCCCCCATTTTCTTACTCCCAATCCCAATCATAATCACTATGATCATTTTATATCGCGAAAGGGTTGGGATCACTCGCAATGTGGTGCATTTTCTTAGACTATTGCTTGCCTAGCATCCGCTTGATCAATTTTTCTTGCTAGTTCAAATCAATCTTGTACTATCAGTCTAGCTCGTGTAATTATCATCAGCTTGCGTCAGTTGAGATCGATTAGCCTTAACATTGTTAGCTTCATGTCCGCACGTTCGATCCGTCACCATCTTAGTCAAGCAAAGATTGGCTTGTTCTGTGCTCCTATCTTTCCCTTTGTTCGAATTGTTCGAACTGTTCCCTTTGTTCGAACTGTTGTGACACCTGGCTACACTACAAATCCTTATCTTCACTGTTGTCAGATGAATATCTCGCCCATTCGGCAGAAACGGTTATGCGAACGGCCCGTGTGTGACAACAGAACTACTGAGTCGTAGCTAGAATCTGCTTCCCACCTGTTTACATCCAAGCGTTAAGCACACCTCACCAGCACGGCACTTAACAATTACTTCTTCGCAAGTAATGATTATACGGGCTTCTACACGCAGTCTCACATGAACTTGTGTTGCAACCCCACTGAACCAGCACAACTCCCTTCCTCCAACAAATGCACACCAGGCACGATCGGTGCTCACATAAGTTTTCAGTCGCTAGCTGTGTCCTCGGATCTAATGCTGCTAATACGGCCGGTGGCTGTCTCACATATTTCTGGGTCTTGTTAGTGTAATCGTTCTGGTTGCAACAAGACAAGAGCGCATCTAACTGCTATGGACCTGCAAATGGAACCAGGCGGTTCGACGGAGATAAAGGATGACCTGTTTTCCTAAACTGTTTAACCTAAAAACCTTTCTCATGATTTAGAAGTTCAGAAAATCAGACACTGCAGCCAATTATTGCAGATTTCTCCCTCAACATCGTGCCAAAAGTCGTCGAAGACGTTATTCTACTACGATCAAGCGATCCACACTAGCCTTCATCCATTTTCACAAGAAGTTCCAAAATGCTTGCGCTTGCAAGCATACTGACGTCCATTTCCGACTCACTGATTACGAGTAGCCCCGATCGAGTAGTAATCGACCCATTTGAAGCATTTATCTGAGCACAGGATCATTTCCGTTACCTTTAGGGCTAATCGCCCTTAAGCTATATTTGTAATTTTGGCACGTTGGTGCTGTGCAGGGATAGTTGATACTCCACGGGAACAAAAGTTGCATCAACTTCGCAGTACTTGTCGACGCCGTTTCGTAGATAAGCTATCGTTTTTTGCGCTGTTCATTGGACACAATCGCACCACTCCTTCCCTAACACTCTCTGTTTCTATCTCTTTCTGGCAATGTTCTTTCATATGTGTCTTTCTATAGGCCCCCGTGGATTTGAATTCACAACCTGGCGGCGAGTGCAGATTTCGTTTCGGCCATCTGTGGTTCCAGCGAAGCACTCGATTCAAGAGTCCAAAGGGTAATTTTTGATTGTTAATTTGTTGTTTACGAATCTTTGGGCGACCAGTGGACGTTTCATTTTTCGATTTAATATACTTCAACATTCATAGTCCAATGCGCCCTGCATCCTGGCATTCCTACTTCCTTTTGACTTTCAAGGCGCCTTCGACTCTGTTGACCGCGTCAGCTTGTGGCACTGTTTATCCATGAAGGGCGTGCTGGATAAATTCCTTTACATTATGCAGTCTCCTTACCTTGACTCCCGAGGGCGTGCAAGGGTCTACGGGAAATCGTCTCCTAAGTTCCCCACGACAACTGGGTTTCGCCAGGATTGTCCTGTATCTCCTCAACTTTGTGATCAAAACGATCATGAATGACTCGGTCCTTTTTAGACTCTACCGGATTGGAAGTCCTACCAGTCGACCGACTGACAAACCTGAGGTATGCGGTCGACATTGCTCTCCTTGGGTGTGACGAAGTGGCTATACAAAAACTTGGATAAAATGAAGCGTAGCGCTGCACACTTCTGCATAGGTTTTGCACCTTCAAAATGCAAAGTACTGCTGCAGAACTGGACCGACTCATCTCCGGTTCTAACTACCAACAGCCACTGGAAGTAGTGGATCGGTTCCCTTACCTTGGTAGCTGTGTCACCTCTGGTGGTTACGTCACTGAGAAGGTTACTTCACGTATCAGCAAGGCCCGTGTGGCTTTCAAGTGACTCAACCATCTACGGGGGCGGCGCGATAGTAGGCAGTCACTTAAAGGTGGGATGTATAGCGCTGCGATAAGGCTTATGTTACTGGATGCGTCAGAGACTAGAACAGTTTGCAGCAAAGAGATCAAAAAATTGACCGCGTTTGACCACCGGTGCTTGCGGCGTATTGCTTACGTCTGGTGGGTACACCGGGTGGACAATGCTGTGGTCCGCCATGTGATTTTGGGCAAGAAGCCTTCTAATGCCTCTCGAAAGTTTGCTACTTCTTAGTCGCTTGCGTTGGTTAGGCCATTTCCTCCGTATGCCCGTTGACCGGCTTCCTCAGCGTGCGTTATACGCCGTAGCTACACCAAGTTGGGCGAAATCGCGAGGTGGTCAGTCCATGGCGTGGCACAGAGGCTTGAAGAAATCGACTTGATCAGACTGATGCGTGCCACCTTCGTGGGTGATGACCTTTGGACGGTCCACACCAATGGTTGGGGACCATTGGCGCCGTCACCCATTCAGTGGCGTTCCTGCGTTCACTTTTCGTATTTGGTTGTTAATTTTTGCCTTATTTCCACTAATCTAACGCACCTCCTTTGTTTCTATTTTGTCTGCCTTCTGCCTCACTATCTTGCGATGTGAGTCGTAGCAGCTGGATCCACCGCACTTTGGAGTTCGGATCAAATCTGTTCAACTGAACTCATCCCTATTGCCTTTTTCGTTTCACCAATATGCGCTCTCAGTCCGCTGCGATGTATATATATATATATATATATATATATATATATATATATATATATATATATATATATATATATATATATATATATATATATATATATATATATATATATATATATATATATATATGGTTGCAGTGCCCTACGCTGAGGCTGATGTTGCATTCATGATGCCTCTTCACCGCAGCTGGGCTACATAAGCTTACATTTAAACTAGGTCTTTTTAAGCTGGATAAATTTCATCTACTTTATTTGCTTTGTTCTACCTACCAGACTGATCTTCTATTTACTGGCCACGTTGCTTACGTTAATTGTGTTTATCTTCCTTAAGTTAATTGCGTTTGTAGCATTTTCTTGCGTAACTTCTGGACATTTTGTACTTATCACGAATTTGTTGCTCACCAACTTACTTCATATGCTAATTTAGGGGAGAGTTATGTCTCCATTGCACTATTCTTTAACAGATAGATTTTACTTGATAATGTCATTTCAAGTGATTGGCTGATGTTTGACATCCACGGTGTGGCTGCGCTTGATGTGCATGTTGACAAAGTATTGCTTATGAATGGAAGGATTTTGGTGAGTATTTTTGTTCGTCGCAATCAGCCGACAATTCAGATATGTCGACCAGCTATCCGGAAAAGCACCAGACGGCCGTTTCGCCCTACATATATATTTGGCTGCATCCAGTTTCGGATTTGCCTGTCACTGTGGCCAACCACAGGACGCCTGCGCTTACAGAGGGACCATAGATGGCTTGCGCTGCACCATCCACACACCCCATATCCAGTATAAACCCGAAGGAATAAGACCGGGGGGCATGCGGATGGGAGCCACGTTTCATCAACGGAGATGGCCCACACTGCTTCACAGACAAACGCCAGCACGCTGTATTTGGGGAATCAAGCGCACACAAGGCGGTGGTTGGACCGTAGTCCACTCCACACTGAGTGCATGGAACCACTCTTCGAGTCTAGCGCGGCCTCGAGGTCCGTGCACCCCGTCCCGTCCAGCAACGACCAACTGTCTCCTGATACCAGTTTGTACGAGGTAATGGGTAATAGACAGGTAGGCACCTTGTCAGCATGCGCATCAAGCGCAGTAACACCGGGGATGTCAAGCAATAGCCAATCATCCGGAATGACTATCTCAAGTTGAATATATCGAATAAAGCATATGGATATGCCGGCATAACTCTTCACTAAACGAGCATATGAAATAAATTGGTAATCAACAAATCCGCGATAAGTAGAAAGTCAGAAAGATATTGAAAAATGCCACAAACACAAAAATGTTAACGAGGTTAACCACGATTAGCTTAAGCGACGTGTACAAGTTGATAGACGATGATTCAGGTAGGCATTATAATGGGGTAAAAAGGCGTTAAGACAAGATAGCAAACCCACCATCTGAAATAAAGACTCAGCGTGCCAATGCGCGGTTAGTAAATCGAATGGAAGCGCATGCGGTGCACTTACCAACGCTGCGACGATTCAGCTTATGTTTTTAACAGCTACCGTTGTCGTTTACATAGTGTTCCCGAGGGGCTTCGCTGGTGGCTCACTAGACCTGCCTGACTCAGGCACTCGCGACCGCACATGCTACAGCACCATACACTCGACGTGGATGGAGTACGCTCCATCGGCGTCTGCTGCTTCCGCACATTCCGCTTCTGCGCATGCATGAAGGCTTTCTCCCGCACCTCAGCAACTGCCTTCGTGATCAGATCGCGCCATTCACGCCGATCACTCGCCTTCGATTCCCAGCACCTGAAATCAATATGTGAACGGGATAAACTCACCTTGATCATATGCTGGTAACGTAACTTCGGTTTTCCCACGTGCCACTTCCCTGACTCAGTCGGTCATAAACTTGCTCTTTCGGTATCCGCGCCGAATCACTAAGACCACCAAACTTGGGCAATCAACTAGCCCACAACCAGCCGCAGTTCTTCTTGGTCAAGTGACTGTTGAACTCGTTGTACAGCGAGTGCACTGACTGGTTTCGCACAATGCCTTTCTACTACCGACGAGCCACCTACACCATATCCATGGTGCTGCGACCTGAACGGATTCCTCATCGCTCCTGAGCCACATTTGGCCAATAATGCACTAAATTTGCCACATGTACCGCATCGTTGCTGTTCTTGTCCGGTGCATGTACTACTGCGGTTGTGTTGTTGCGTCATTGATTTCCTTTGTCTATTGATACCCTAGTTCTGGCTGCGCCTAGCAAGTTGCCTACTTGTCGAAAAACCGATACCCCGACTATTGCAGTCAAATCTATGTAAGGCCACCACTCAGGGGACCGACAAGAAGTTGTCACCTTGGACTGAGGACCTCCATCGACAGGTTCATGCATAGGGACATTAGTCATAAAAGAAAACTTGGGGGATGTTTTTGGCTGGTCGCCATAGACAGGTGGTCGTCATGGCAGGTTGGACTGTAGCTCCAAGAGGCGGTTGATCGTTGCTGGAGGGACAGGGTGCGCAATCTTCTTGACGATACTAGGATATAAGAGTCGTTGTATGCAGTATAGAATGAACTACGGCCCAGCTACCACCCTATGTACATTTGGTACCCATGTTTCCCCAACTCATGTGAATGGTGCTCTTGTTGACGAAGTGTGGGCTGGCTCCAAATCAATCGTGGTGTATAGACACTGTTTTTGTTAGTTAAAGCTAACACGCTTAATCCATTTATTTGGGCACCTGATAGGCATTTTCCTGCAAGCTATCTATGCAGATGGCATATTTTCATCTCAAAGGTCTTGAGCTCAGTCTCTTCAGTGTTTAGCTATTTTGTCTAACCAGGATGATTCACGAAACCAGTGGTGATCTTGCAAACATCTGTCACTTTTCATGGTTAAACATTCCGGAGTCTTGTTTTGTTCATTTCTCTGACTCCTTTCCGTTGCTTTTGTTTTCCATCGTTTTGTCCTGCTCCCTATTTTCCCTCTTATGGCTATAATCGTGATGATTGGATTTATCGCACTTTCCTTTTTTACAGCACATGAACCAAACTGATGAAGGTCACCAGTCCATATATATATATATATATATATATATATATATATATATATATATATATATATATGTGTGTGTGTGTGAAACTAAATATGTACGCTTGGCAAGCCTACGGCTGAGATTTACTTCGACAACAATCGTAAAGCTTTAACTCAAAGACACTTCCTCAGTGAAGTACTTCTTTCTGTGTATACTCCTTTACTTGTTCATATCGAGCGAGTTATGTCGGAAGAATAACCAGGAAACTGTCTGAGAGAATCCGTGAACATTGCCCGGCTTGGCTGTGTGCAGGTGGAACAAAAACAGTGATGACCGCCATGTTGGCACATCTAGTTGATTGTAATCACCAGATCGATACGTACCAATATTTTTAGCCAATTTACCGCGTGCTTGGATGCTACACACGGTCGGTAATATGTCGGTTACTAATGACAGCCGAAGCGATCGCCATCCGCCTCCAGAACCCAGACCTATGTGCACAAAAACAATTCGTTCAGATTCTCTCTCTTTCTCTGTCCCATATTACTACTTTTTGCCTAGGTACTCACCTTGTCTTCTTAGGCGTCCACTGGTGTATGTTCTCTATCATCGGCACCTCCGCTGCTTGCTCACAGTTTAGGTTTCTTGTTTGCCTCCACGGATTGTCTGGACTTGTTTGTTGCTTAGTCACTGTATGAAAATACAACAGTCGTTAGTGACCGAGTCGACCTATTAATCATCTCCCCACACAAGTGCCACAGATGTTCCTCAGGACGTTTTCAAAAGTTCATTTCTTACATGTCTCCTAGCTGGAACCAATCGCTAAGCCGTCTGCCCAATTGAACGTTTCACAATGCCATCACCACATGTGTACTCTCTTAAGCAGATGGACTGCTTAGGAAGCAGTCATTTCGATTATCACTGCACCCGAACGACTTTATTTAGGACTTGGACAATGCGCTAACTGTTACTGGGTATTTTCGGTGCTTTAAAGGCTTGTGCCGTTTAGCTGGCACAACTTTCGTGTCCTGGGTGGTTGTACGGTACTTGAGCCGGTTAAGCCACCATTTAGGCCACACCGTACTTCGACGAATATGGCCAGAAGATGACTCCAACTGAGATTCTAACAGACAGACAGCAGGTACTAATAGATGCGCATCCGAATTCTGCACAGGCACTGTCTCTTCTTTGGTTTAAATAAGACGATCTACAATTTAGTAACATACCCGAAGACCACCAGCTCCAATTTACTCCAGGTTGACCATGTATTATCTGGTGGTGGCTAGCTATTACTCACTTTCCTGTGCGCCCCTGATTGGGCTTATGTCTGCTGACTATTCGACGGTGGCCACCACTGCATCTACGTTGCGGTGATTTGCAATAAAATTGCAGGGAGAGAAAATTAATCTGTAGGTGAACTTTATACAATAGGCGATGTGAGACAACCCGATCACCAAATAAAGTTTATGATGGCGTTTCGTTCCTGCTCGGCTTTCTGGGTGCTGCACAAGGCTCATCGTCGGACATCTTCAGTGGGCAGAACTTATGCAGGTTTCTCGAAGCAGTACGCATTTTGTTGAGCGTTGTCTGTGTCAGCAGGGTATACATCGACATATTGCTCTGGTAGTTGTCTGACACTGGACTAATGGTGATAAACGAAGGATGCCGATAGTTTTTCGTTTTACAGACTAAATAGTCGCTTATCTCCGATCTCTCCTGCTGGGTTACGTTACTTGATTTTGGTGATCCCCCTTCCCTAGCCGATGTTAATGGCGACGTCAGCTTTTCTTGCTCATTTGCCAATATCATGTAATTGCTACTCCTTTCTACGATGATCAGGCTGTCGTAGAGATGAATTCTGTTTGAAGGTTGTTACTTGTCTGCCTTATCTTGGCCCGCAGTTGCCTTGAGTTCACATCCTATTGAAACACAACTCTCCTGTGACCTAGACGAATGTTGTCCATTAAGTCTAGCCCTCATTCTCGTACTCTCATGCGATCTACCATCTAGCTGATATTTTTAGGCTTTTTACTCTCTGTGACCATTCCATTTTGGTATCCTGTGATCGCTTTATAGGAATGGCGCGTACTTTCTGTCACATCAGATAGCCTGGTTAACCTTAGTCACTTTCCTTATCCGAGCTCTCCTTTATCAGTTTTTATCATGGCTCGCTTTTTCTTCGGCTCTGGTATCTATCCGCTTGTGCCGAATGAATGATCTCCGTGTCATTCACTTTTATCACCAACGAGTGTTCTGAACCCTTCTATTCCTGGAATATTCGTCTCTTAGGGCTTAATGGGTAGCCATGTGAAACCGCTGTCTATTGTTTTTGCGTCTATTTCACCTCTGGAATGCAGTTCTGCCCAATATTCACTATTTTACTTTTGTAAGGAATCACTTTATGCTGATTTTCGTTTGTGTCCATGTATTTCCCCACCCTGCACGAGCTACTTTTCAACATGCCTCATACTGCTACAGCGACTCAGGTGCCTTTAGTGAGTTATATCCTCATTTCGTCAGGCACTCGTTTGACGACTATCTAAGCAATACCGTTTTCTTCTCACCTCCACAGCGTTCATCGCCGTGCACTTTTGGTCACCCTATGTCATGAAATCCGCACAAAAGTGAGTCGTCGTTATAGATCGTTTCGACTATTTTTCTCTGCGTGGTCTGGTGTATCCACTACCTTGTGTTATACAACACCCGATGTCATCAACTCAACGCTGGAACTCCCTGTTTTAGAGTCATACATAGGAATACTTTGTTTGCTTTCTTTGGAGCAGTATTAGCTCTGCATTCTTTTCATACCCGTTACTAAGTCCGTCTTTTCTCGCCTCTGAGTGCCTCATCTCCATTTCCCGGACCTCCTACCCACTACCACTTTGTTACTACTACACCTTGTCTTTGGTTGCCTTGTTTTAATTCGTCCATTCTTGTTCACCTAAGCTGCACTTGGATCGAATCTCACCTGCTTGGTCTGTAGGGTCGGTATGCAAACTCAGTCTACTCGGATCCCTTGCATTTTGATTGGCGTTGTTATCCTAATCGTGTTTCTTTAAAGTGCGTGCTTCTAACTTTTGTACAACAGCAGCGAATTTCAGCTTGTCCGTCGCAACGAGGCTGGACCTTAATGTGTTTCGACGATTTGCGTACCTCTTTGACCCATCGAGCTATACTAGGTGGTGTCTCCGGGCCCCTTGAGAGCTACTCCTACCAGGTTGGTCAATGGTTGGATTTCCGACAAACTCAATCTCCAGGTTAGCGTTTTGAAATGGAATGGCGGCAGCGTTCCAGAACGTAGTGGGTTTTCGCCTAACAAGCGTTCTCCCTATAAAAAGCCACAAATGTCTACCTAACAACACTGTAACTTCACGAATGTGACTCCCCACTAAGTAAAGTCACTGACCTTGCGTACACGGACTATCTTATCAAATCCACAGACGTCAAACATTCCTTTAGACACTGGCAACGCGATCGAGTTCATACAAAAGAACAGCAACACATTTACAAGCACATGGCTGGCGGCATCCGGTTTCGGATTTGCCTGGCACTGTGGCAAGCCACAGGACGCCTGCGCCTACAGAGGGACCATGGGTGGCTTGCGCTGCACCACCCACACCTCCATCCACACATCCCATATCCAGTGTAAACCCGAAGGAATAAGACCGGGAAGCATGTGGATGGGAGCCACGTTTCATCAACGGAGCCGGCCCACACTACTTCACAGGCAAACACAAGCACGCTGTATTTGGGGAATCAAGTGCACACAAGGCGGTGGCTGGACCGTAGTCCGCTCCACACTGAGTGCATGGAACCACTCTTCGAGCCTAGCACGACCACAAGGACCGTGCACCCCGTCCCCTTCAGCAACGACCAACTGTCTCGTAGAGCCAGTTTGGACGAGGTAGTGGGTACTAGACAGGTGGGCACCTTGTCAACATGCACATCAAGCGCAGCCACACCGGGAATATCAAACAACAGCCAGTCACTTAAAAGAAAGATAACAAATAAAATAAATCGAGTAATGCATAAGGAAACGCTGACATAAACCTTAAATTAATGAGCACATGAAATAAGTTGTTTACAAACGAATCCAAAATAAGTTCACGATGTCAAAAAGTATATTTTTCAGAAATCCCACAAACACGAAAATATTATCGAACTTATCTACAGTTGGCTTAAGCGACGTGTGCAAATTTGTATAAGAGAGTAGTGGTAGACATCTTTATGAGAAAGAAAAGCATTAGGACAAAATTGCAAATCCACCACCTGAAATAAAGAGACTTAACATGAAAGCACGCGGTTAGTAAATCGAATGCAGCGTACCTGCAAACTCTTGGCCGGTTCTGCCTACGTTCTCTGCAAGACTCGTTGTCGCTTCGGTAGCGGTCCCGAGTGACCCCGCTCATGGCTCACTAGGCCTGCCTGACTTAAGCGCTCGTGACCGCATGTGCCACAGCACCATGCGCTTGATGTCGGTGGCGAACAACCCAACCCGCACTTGCCGCTTCTTCTCTGCATGCATGAGGGCTTTCTCCTGCACCTCGGCAACTGCCTTCGTGATCAGATCGCGCCATGCACGCCGATCAACCGCCTTCGATTCCCATGATCTGCAATCAAGATTAGAATGTGAGAGGCTCACTTTAATCATGTCCTGGTAACGTAACTTTGGTTTCCCCACGTGCCGCTTCCCTATACTCAGCTGACCATATAAGAGTTGCTTCGGTATCCGCGTTGAATCTATACGGCTCACATGATGGATCCACCTCAGGTGTCTCAGCGAAAGTATGCAGTCCACTGCATCCATCCCACTACGACTCAATACTTCCGTGTCTGCAACTCTGTTGCCCCAACCGATGCGCAAAATCCGTCGCAAGCACTACTGATGGAACCGCTCGAGATATCGCACATCCCGCCGGTACATCGTCCACGTTTTATTGCCGTATAGAAGAACGGACAGCACCATGGATTTGTACACCATCAGCTTCGTGCCAAAGCTAAGCTGATGGCTGTTCCACACTCGGTACGCAAGCTTCCCGAATGCCGCCGCTGCCTTCGACATGCAACTCACTATGTAGCTACTGATCAGTCGACATCACATTCCAAAGGTAGCAAGAGCGGGAGGTGGTTTTTAATACTTTAGCACCATGGCTGATTCGCGACAATATTGAAGATTGCACCTCCGGTAAAGGCTGAAAGAGACAGACACTTTTGCTTGTGTTGATGGTGAGCCGGAATTTGGCCGCTGTCGAAGCCAGAGCACTAGTCATGTGCTGCAACTCATCCGCGCTGTGTGCAAACAACGCACAGTCGTCAGCAAACAGCAACATACGGATAGTTGTCTCACTTACTAGGGTTCTCGCACCGAAACGACGGATGTTCAGCAACCCACCATCAATACGGTGCTCCACACGAACACCGTAAGCACAAGCGGCATCAAAAGCGCAAGATAACATTGCATGAAGATATATATTAAACAGGGCAGGATCTAAGTTACAGTATTGCTTCACACGAGAGACAACTGCAAAGTCATCCGAGGTCTCTCCACTCAGCTGCACCCTCGACCACATACCACTGTCCAGACATACAATTAAACTTACAAACTTACGCGGGCAGCCCAACTTACCCAACACCGGCCACAATGCTTCGCGGTTCACCGTATCAAATGCTTTGGTGAAATCAACAAAAAGTGAGTACAATGGCTGGTGTCGTTCTCTGCATTTCTCCTGCAACTGACGAACCGCAAACGTCATATCTTTAATGCTGCTACTCGAACGGAATCCACACTGCTCTTCCGCGACGTTAGGTTCCACAACCTGACTGACGAGGCGGTTGAGCAGCATTCGGGCAATCACTTTGCCCACACAACTCAGCAAGTTGAGGGCACGATAATTCGTGCAACATTGCTTGCTACTTTTGCCCTTGTACAGCGGTAGCACAAGGGCATCCTTCAGCTCAGGAGGCACCTCCTCCTCAATCCATACGTGTTGCACCAATTGGTGCAGCGCAGTGAACAGCGCGGGTCCTCCGTGTTTCAATACTACTGGCGGGATCCCGTCGGCCCCAGCACACTTGCCGTTTTGCAGCTGAGCAAGTGCTGTCTGCGTCTTATCCAGTTTCGACGTGTACGCCAGACTCGCCTTCACATCGTGCTGCTTGAGGCCGTTCAATGTACGCCAGTCAATCTCTGAACGGTTGTTCAAGAGACAGCCAAAGTGCTTTCGCCAAATTTGCATTATGTCTGTAGTCGGTGTGCAGGTAGCGCCTGAACTACCATCGATCAGTGTCCTCAGAGGCTCCAATCTCGGTCCATACACCGCCTTCGAGCAGTCAAAGAATTCCTTGTGTTGGCGGCGTTCGGCGTAGCATTCCATCTGCTTCGCCTACTCCTTCCACCATGCATTTTTATGCGACGGAGCTCTCGGGTCAGTCGCCATCGAAGTTTGCAAAACGGATTCTTAATCAGCAAGTCACTGGGATCTGCGACATGTGCAGCAAATGCTGCATTCTTCTCCGACACCAATGCGCCAATCGTCGCATTGTTCTCATGAAACTAATCAGCACGCTTACAGTTTGTGCGCCCAATGGCGTCCTCGGCAGCAGCTGTCACCTGGTCGCGAATGTGGTGCCACATGTCGCCCACTGTGGCTTTGCAGTCCACTTTCCACAGGCGTGCAGCCATCACCTTCTCCAGCTGACTACGTTTCGCCGATTCACGGCGGGTGTGCAATACATAGACTAACGAAAATATATGTACAGTTTGGTCCGCACCAATTTGTGATCAGTGCCCTACTCATCTCTACGCAGTTCACGTGTCATGCGCACTTCACGCATATCACGCTGACGTAGGATGACATAGTCGAGCAGATGAGCGTAACCACTCCTTGGGTGAATCCAAGTTGCCGTATCACTCGCACTCAGTGCAAGCCGAGTGTTCGTGATTGTCAGGCCGTGAGTGGCGCACAGTGAGAGCAGCCTATCACCGTTCGCATTCGCTGAACCAATGCCATGCAGACCGATAACATCTGTCCACACTGATGCATCACGCCCAACGCGCGCACTGAAATTACGTAGGAATACTAGTCGGTCGCTCCTCGGCACAGACCGTATCACGGAGGATAGCTCAGTGTAGAATTGATCACTTGTGTCATCAGGATAACACATGGTCGGACCGTACGTGCTTATAAAAGTGGCAAACTTACCTCTTCCGCGAACAGTCATCAGTCGCGCGCTGATGCCAGTTGGTTCACCCACGAGCCGGCGACGGAGGCGATCGGATATTGCAAATCCGACCCCATGTTCACGTGGTGCTGAGGCGGCGTTGCCCACCCAGTAGAATGTGTAGCCAGCACCTGCTTCATGCAACTTACCTTGCTCAGCGAGCCGAGTTTCACCGAGCGCCGTAATATCGATGTGGTGGCGTGCCAGTTCCATCGCGACGAGTGCAGTGCGTCGTTCCGGGCGTTTGTTGGAGTTCCGGTCCAGTTATGTGCGCACGTTCCAGCACCCGATGCTGAGTGCTTTGCGCGCAGGCATACGAGTGCATTGGTGGGCAATCGCACGCGAGGTGGTCGTTGTGCTTCGGAGGTTTGCTTGAGGGATTCCGCCCGGAGCCTTTGGCTCG